TTTTTTTTTTTTTTTTTTTGCTTTATACTTAGCTCTTCTTTTTATGGTATCTTGAACTAAAAGCTTAGATTATTGATTTGAGACCTTTCTCCTTTTCTAACATAAGGCTTTAGTGCTATAAATCACCCCCCACCCCAAGCACTGAATTATCTGCATCCCACAGATTAATGTTTTGTGTCTTTATTTTTGTTCAATTCAAAATATCTTCTGGTTTTCCTTGAGACTTCCTCTTTGGCTCATCAAACACTCATAAGTGTTTAGAGATTTATAGTTCTCTTTCTGTGACTGATTTCCAGTTTGTTTTCATTATGGTCAGAGAACATGGTTTGTATTTTGCTCATCTGATAATTTGTTAAGGTTTGTTTTATGACTCGGGATATGGTCTATCTTGTGAATGTTTCATGTGCACTTGAATAAATGTGTATTCTGCTACTGTCAGGTTGTAGTTTATAAATTAATTAAATCAGTGTGTTGACAGTGTTCAGTTCTTCTATATTGTTACTGATTTATGCTTCTTTTTTCTAATGAATACTGAAGAGCATAGAAGTCTCCAACTATAATTGTGTCTTTGTTGCTCATTTCAGTTCTGTTAGTTTTTGCTTCATATATTTCAAAGCTCCTTTGTTATGTATATAAACAGGATTACTATGCCTTCCTGGAGAATTGACCTCTTTATCATTATGTAATGACCTTCCTCATCCCTGTAATATTCCTTGTTCTTACGTGCACTTCATCTGAAATGAATACAGCCACCGCAACTTTCCTTTGATTAATATTGCTTTTTCTACCTTTTTACTTTTAATCTACCTATGACATATATTTAAAGTGAGTTTCTTTTAAATAGCACATAGTTGGGGGTATTTTTTTTTAAGATCCATTCTGACAATCCCTATCTTTTATTTAGGATGTTTAGATTATTTAGTTTAGTGTTGTTATTGATATGGTTGGATTTAGGTTGGCATTTTTGTATTTGTTTTCTGGTTGTTCTGTTTTTATCCTCTACTTTCCTTTCCCTGCTTTATTTTGGAGTATTCGAATGTTTTTAGTATTCCACTTTAACTTGTCTATGGTCTTTTAATTATATCTCCTGTATAGTTCTTTTTTTTTAATTCTTTGCTCTTAGAATTACAAAATACTTAAGAGACAACTTAGAATTAATATTTTAAAATTTTTTAAATTTTTATTTATTTTTGAGAGACAGAGAGACAGAGCACAGGCAGGGGAAGGGCAGAGAGAGGGAGACAGAATCCAAAGCAGGCTCTAGGCTCTGAGCTGTCAGCACAGAGCCGGACGCAGGGCTTGAACCCACGAACCATGAGACCATGACTTGAGCAGAAGTCAAACGCTTAATCGACTGAGCCACCCAGGTGCCCCCAGAATTAATATTTTGCCATGTCGAGTGGAATGCAGAAAGTTTACTATTGCGTAAGTCCCAATCCTCTCTCCTTTTTGTTGTGTTTGTCTTAGGTATTACATCTGCATACACTGAATGCCCCATCAGATAATGTTACACTGTTTACATTGATTTACCACCAATAGTAGTTTAAAGAGCACAAGGAAGAAGAGGAAGAAGAATATTACCCAGGCGTTTACCAGTTTGGTTGCTCTTCCTATAGTCCTGAAGTTTCAAGTTTTCCTCTGGTATCATTTGCTTTCTGTCTGAAGCATTTCCTTAAGCGATTCTTTTAGAAGGTCTGCAGGTGAGGAATTATTTTAGTATTTTTTCATCTGAGAATGTCTTTATTTCACCTTCTTTCCTGAGGATATTTTCACTGGCTATCAGATTCTCGATTCACCGTTCTTTTATTTCAGCCATTTTTATTTCTTATTTACGTTCTTACTTTTTCTCCTCTCCAAGGTTTCTGATAAGAAATCCACAGTCATTCTCCCTGTTGTTTTCTCTAAGTAATGCACTGTTTTTCTCTGCTTCTGTTCCAGATTTTTTCTTGGTTATTAGTTTTCAAAAATGATGTGCCTGGGTGTGGATTACTTTCAGTTTGCTTTCTTTGGGGCTCAGGGAGTGTCTTCGATCTGTAGGTTTACATTTTGCCACATGTGGGAAGCACTCAAACCATCCTTTCTTCAAACACAGTTTGTGTACTTCGCTGTCTCTCTTCTCTTTCTGAGACTCTGATGCACGAATGTTAGACATTTCCGGATTGTGTTATGGGTCTCTGAGGCTTTGTTCATTGTTTTCCAATCATTTTATCTCTCTATTGTTCAGACTAGATAATCTCTATTGATCTATATTCAAGTTCACTGGCTTTTACCTATGTCATCTCTGTTCTGCTACTGAGCCAACCCAGGAAATTTTTAAATTTCATTTATCACATTTTTTAGTTCTAAAATTTCCTTTTGGTTCTTTTTAATAGCTTCTATGTGTTTGCTCAGGCTTTCTATCTTTCCATGCTTTTCAAGACTATTCACCCTTACTTCATGAAGCATTTTTTTATATTAAAAAAAAATTTTTTTTTAATTTTTTTTTTCAACGTTTATTTATTTTTGGGACAGAGAGAGACAGAGCATGAACGGGCGAGGGGCAGAGAGAGAGGGAGACACAGAATCGGAAACAGGCTCCAGGCTCTGAGCCATCAGCCCAGAGCCCGACGCGGGGCTCGAACTCACGGACTGCGAGATCGTGACCTGGCTGAAGTCGGATGCCTAACCGACTGCGCCACCCAGGCGCCCCTAAAAAAAATTTTTTTTAATGTTTATTTTTGAGAGTGAGAGAGAGACAGAGTGTGAGAGGGGGAGGGGCAGAGAGAGAGGGAGACACAGAATCCAAAGCAGGCTCCGGGCTCTGAGCTGTCAGCACAAAGCCCGACACGGGGCTTGAACTCACGGACCGTGAGATCATACCTGAGCTGAAGACGGACAACCAACCAACTGAGCCACCAAGGCGCCCAGATCATGAAGCATTTTTGTATCGGCTGCCTTAAAGTCTCTGTTAATAATTCCAACATCTGTAGCATCACAGTGTTGACATCTGCTGAATATCTCTCCTCAGCCAAGTTAAGATTTTCCTGCTTTTGCCGTTTGGATTCGTATGCTGAGTAATTTTGTATTATATTCTGAAATGATGTGAATACATACGATTCTGAGTCTTGTTTCAGACTATTGGTTCCGTGGTACTTTGAATTCTGGTCTTCTTGCCCCCTCTGCCTGCTACCATTTACCTTTCGCAGTCTGCAAATAACCACTCTATTCAGTCTGTCTAGGTTTCATAGCTACATTCAGTGGGACAAACTATATGGAGTTTACATTTTCCATCTTACCTGGAATCAGAACCCGTCTTTTTTTTTTAAGGTTTTTGTTTTGTTTTTTTAATTTTTTATTTATTTTTGAGACAGAGACAGACAGAGCATGAATGGGGGAGGGACAGAGAGAGAGGGAGACACAGAATCGGAAGCAGGCTCCAGGCTCCGAGCCATCAGCCCAGAGCCCGACGCGGGGCTCGAACTCACGGACCGCGAGATCGTGACCTGAGCCGAAGTCGGACGCTTAACCGACTGAGCCACCCAGGCGCCCCCAGAACCCATCTTAATAGGCAAATTAACAAATTAGGCCCGTGATTTGGAAAAAGTTAGCCTGTAGGTTTCAAACAGCTGATCTTTTCCATTTTGACAGCTCTGACACATTTATGTCACTAAACACTGTTTTTGTGTGTGTGTCACTGCCCACTGTGACGCAGGCCCATGTATACCTGGGCCTTTGGTCGTATGAAGCTCTTTTTTCCCTGTCCTCTCTGTCCTATTTCCCATCCCGCCCACTGGTTGGTCACTTCTCAGTTGTCTTCTTTCAGCGGAGACAAGGGTAGAATTTTCCACAAGGAGCTCTACAAAGGAGGAGGGATAATAAATACAACTATACTGGGGCACCTGGGTGGCTTAGTCCGACCAAGTCCAACTCTTGAGACCAGCTCAGGTCACAATCTCATGAACCACGAGGTCACTCTCTGCACCGGACCTCCTGCTGACCACACCGGGCCTGCTTGGGGTTCTCTCTCCTCTCTTTCTCTGCTCCTCACACGCCTGCTCACACTCGCATGCCACTCTCTAAATAAATAAATAAATAAATAAATAAATAAATAAATAAAACAATAAAACTATATTGATTTGGGGGAATCAATCAAGGGAAAGCCCTTGAGTGTCCTTTTCTCATGCCATCCTCCGGCCATCCCTTAGTGACAACTCACTTCACAGTTGAGGCAATGGGACTTTTAGGTATTCGAGGTGATATTCGCAAGGTTTCTCAGTTGTGAAGTAGCAGAATCAGGACAAGGTAGATTTCCCGGCCCCGGACGAAAGGTACTGACTGCAGTTTTGTGCCAGTGGTTTGATGAGTGATGATTTAACGGTTTCAAAGTTTGGGTAACCCAGCTTGCAAAACATTGGCTCTGTGCACGGTCCATGGCGTGGTGAACAAAATGAACAAGGTCGCTGCAGGATCTTTGGGGTCTTGGCCTCAGTGAGGCGTGGGTGGCCCCACAATCTGGTAGGGTTCACGGTTCCTCCGAGGATATAATTTGTTTCCATTTCTATGAGCTTTTGTTAAATATCTCCTATATTTCTGGCACAGCTGCAAGCCCAGTAAACAAAGATTGAATAAGACCGTCCCCAGACCCCCGGCCCCTGGGGGGCCCTGCTAATCACGCGGGTTCTCCCGCCCTCGTGGCGCCTGCCAGAAAGCTATAGGGTATCTGAGCTCACAGAGGTCTCCTTTCCCTGCAGTCCTCCGGGCCTCACACGAGCAGGAGAAGGAAGCCCTCACCCACTCCTTCCAGGAGGCCAAGGCAACCCTGCAGGTGAGAAGAGCTGGGCCATGGCAGACTCTGCCAGGGGAGGGGAGGGCCTGCGGCAAAACAGCACGGCCTCCACTTAAGGTGTGAGGGACAGGGATGAGTGTCTTCTGTGTATCCAGCCCCTCCATGTGGCGACTGGGCTATCAGCTCAAGAGGACTCGCTCTGAGATTAGGGTTGGCCTGTTTTTCTAAGGACTGTTGGAGGATCTTAGAGACCTCACGGACCGGGCACCACAGTGTGACTGGGCTGGCAGGCGGAAGCACGAAGGAAGGTGTCTGAGCCAATTTGTCAGGTCAGGCACTTCCCAGAGGGATGAAATCTTAGCTGGAACCTGAAGGATGGGTTGGAATTCTTCAAATGAAGAAGGGTAAGAAGGATGCCGTAGGCAGAAAACAAAACAAAACTGTGCTTAAAGACTTGGAGAGGAGAGGGAAATATGGAGTACGTGTAGAACTGAAAGAAGTCCAAGATGCCTGGGGTGAAGGGTATGAGTGGGAGGGAGCTGAGGTTGGACAGGAGGCGAGGGCCAAACTGTGGGGCCTGGGGGCCATATCGAAGCCCTGCTCTATCCTGAAGGTAATGGGCAAGGTTGGGGTGCAGGATACTCCTGACAAGGGAGAGTAGGAGGCAGGAATGTACCCAGCAGCAGAAGGACTGGTGTGATGCCTGGCCGCAGGAGCAGCAAGAGGGAAGACTGGGAAAGTGCAGAGCCTGGTATGGTTGGGCTTTGAATGCCAAGCTAGCACCAGCCTCAAACACCGGGACATTGTCCCCAAGGGCATGGGGAGCCATTAAGGCTCTATGATGAGAGATAGGGCTGGCACGTTTCAGGCAATGGTTGAAGCAAACCAAGCCTGCATTGTTGGGTAGGACAGAGTGAAGATAGATGGAAGAATCCTAAACTGACCCCTTTCCGGGATGCACAGACGTCCACCTTCAGCCTTTATGAACCAGGCTTTGACCATCTCCCTCCCGCTCCCTTCTCTAGGAGACCATTGATGGACTGTCCTCACAGCTGGAGGTCTTCCAGGCCAAGATGAAGAGGGTAGAAGAGTCCATTCTGAGCCGAGACTATAAGAAGCACATCCAGGTGGATGGCAGAGAATACTTTTCCTTCTTGAATCTCCAGGGAGGTCAGGGTCTGGGCAGCAGGAAAGGCCAGGCCTTCCTCAAGGCCAGGGCTCAGACCTGAGCCTGGAAGAAACAGGGTCCTCGTGTCACTGCGGGGAAAGAAAGACTTAGAGCACAGGGGAGATGGTAAAATGCTCAGGTTCTGGATTCAGGAGGAACGAGGTGCAAAGAGCTGACCTACCACTTAGCGTGAGTGACTTACCCGATCGGCGCTGCGGTTCCTCAGCTGGGGTGGTAGTGGGGCCTGCCTCGAAGGGCGTCATTAGGCTAGAATGAGATCACGCGTAGTAAGCACTTACTGTGAGCCAAGAGAAGGAGGCGGCATGTGAGAGGCAAACAGTGATTTGGAGACACAATGGGGAAGAGGCAGGTAGCCCCTGCCCCTCTGTCCCTGCTGGTCTGGTGAGATCACTTCGTGTCCCCATCTAGGATTACGGAAGCCCCAACCAGTTCTGGGAGCAGGAACTGGAGAGCTTACACTTTGTCATCGAGATGAAGAACGAGCGTATCCATGAGCTGGACAAGCGGCTGATCCTCATGGAAACAGTGGTGTGTGACTGGAAGGGGGGCGCTGGGAAGATACACCTCGGGCTTCTGTTTTCCGGGCATTTCCTCTGTAAAGCGTGTGGAGGGAAGGCAGTTTGAGGAGGCCCCAGCCTGGTCCACCCCAGCTTTGACCTGCCTTCCATGCTGGCCCTGGGGACGGCTGTGGCCTGTCTGTGGCCAGTCTGGGTCAAGCAGTGGCTCCTTCTCATAGGGCCTCCGTGCTTTTCTTGACTATTCATGTTTCTCTAGCTTGGGTGACACCAGGGCAGGTAACCTGGCTAATCAGGAGGGGCTGGCAGATGTCCCCTGTCAGGCAGGGGCCGGGGAAGAAGCTGAGGCTGAAAAATCAGACCGACGTAGGAGGCCACAGTGAGCGAGGACAGGCCTGGGGAGTGGTGGGCGTTGGGCACACAGATGGCTTTGTCTCCAGGAGAAGGGAGGCCTTGGGAACCCGGGGCTGAGTCCAAACAGAGATGATGTTGCTCTGGAAGGAGTCTCCCCACCCGCGTGTACCACACAGCCTACATTCTAATCAGGCCCGTCTCAGAGAGTCCCTGGGAATTCTGTTCAACCACGCTTGTGGAATAGTATAACAGACACACGTAATTTTATTTATATAGATTATATCCTTCTGACTTTGGGAGAACCAAAAATATCCATTCTCTTATGAACTGATGGAAATGTTACGTGGGAGTGGCTGTGTTCTTTTCCTACATCTCATGTGGCAAAATCGAAAGTTGGCAACCCTGTGTCTCCTCCTTAGTTACATACATTTTTTTAAGTAATCTCGTTGCCTCACGAAATGTAACATCTAGTCCAGAATGAGTCGGTGTTTTCAGTGACCACAGATAAGAGGGAGGTGACGAAACACACTGTGCCATGTGAGTCGGGTGGCTTTCTGAGCTCCTTCTGATGTGTTGCAGAAAGAAAAAAATCTGATGTTGGAGGAAAAAATCACCACTTTGCAGCAGGAGAATGAGGAGCTCCATGTCCGGGGCCGCAACCAGATGGTTATGTCAAGGTAGCTGCCTCCCTGCTTCCTCTCCTCCCACCCCCACCCTTTTGGCCAAAATCTCTACTTAGGAGGGTCTCTGAGAAGCCTGGGGAATGGATTGGCAGGTAGGCCCAGGCCTTTCTGGGGAATGTCAAGAAAATAGGAGTCAAGAATCCCAAGGGACCCAGCTCTGCCTAGAAACCTGTCTCAGTGCCCTGACTGGTATCTGTCCCCATCCTGGCTGAGCAGCCTCCACGGCAAAGCCCAACACAGGAAGAGAGGACAGGAAATTTCTAGCTGAGGTGACCTAATGAATGAATGAATGTACATGAATGAATGAACTCGTTCGAAAGGCTTAGTAAATGAGAGCCTGCCTCATGGGTCAGACATAATTCATTGAATACTTTACATATGGTCTCACCTAATCGTCATAATTACTCAAAGAGCTGGGTCCTCCTATGATCAGTCCCATTGTACCCATGAGGATGCTGAAATTTGTCAAGAGTCAATAACTTGTCCAAGGTTACACAGCTAACTAGTGGGGCGGATCTGAACCCAGAGCTGTCTGCCTGGGAGGGCCGGGCTCCACTGTCAGCCAATCGAATGAATGGCCTCCTGCACACAGGCAGAGGACAGGACGACAGGGCGGTGGGGGCCCTGGAGCGGGCTGGCGGCCCATCCGAGGAAGGCCTCCCAGAGGAATGGGTTGGTCTGTGCGGCCGCTGTGGGCTGCTTCCCCCTGGCGACGTCGGCCCATCTCCATCCACAGGCAGCTCTCGGAGGACCTGCTTCTCGCCCGCGAGGCCCTGGAGAAGGAGTGCCAGTTGCGGCGACAGCTCCAGCAGGAGAAGGAGGAGCTGCTGTACCGGGTCCTCGGGGCCGATGCCTCCCCCGCCTTCCCTCTGGCCTCAGTCACCCCCACCGAGGTCTCCTTCCTCGCCAGCTAGGACGCAGGGCCAGGACGCCTGTGGTCACAGCGCCCTCTTGAGGATTTACCAGAGAAGACAGCGGGGGCCTCTCGTTCCATGCCCAGGAGGGGCGGAGGGCAGGAGCGAGATGGGCAGCCAGGGTGCGAGCCCAGGGAGCCCTGAGGGCTTGGGCCTTGCAGGATCACCCACCGGGCTTTGAGGCCCCAGAAGCACCTTCCCCTGAGTTGGCCCAGGAAACAAGCAAAGAGGAGTCCTTCCATCCCTCCCAGTTCTCTCCGTCCAAATCAGGGAAGTCCCGAGCTTTTCCCAGGGGCAGCCGGTGCCACTGAGGCCATCTGACGAAGAAGTGACAACCCACTGGTCCTGACTTGTCAGCTCCCCCCCTCCCCGAGATGTTCCCACCTCTGGTCGGGCCCTCCCTCAGCCTCAGGTTACCTCTCCTCTAAAACAGCCAGGGGAACCCAGCGAATGATACTTGAGTCACTACAGTGCCCCATTCTAGGATGGTGCGAGGCTCAGACCAGGGGCTGGGGGACCGGGAAGGAAGTGGCCCACACCCTGGGAATCAACAGGGAAAGGCGGGCCGCTGGTAAGGGGGTCACTGGAGGCCCTTGGGGCTGGGGCTGGGGCTGGTGTGGGGCAGGCGACTGCTCCCGGTCCCGGAGTCTTGCTCAGCCCAGGGGTTAAGCCAGAGCAACTCCTCAGCCCTCCTGGTCCCTCAGTCTCAGTGACACCCGGGTACACGCAGAGCTGGGACCTCATCCCTATCCCGACGAGGAAACCAAAGTGGGGAGTGGGGCCCCCAAAACAAGGACTAGGACCTCCTCTGTCATCCAGCTCTTCGCGTGTTGTGCTTGTTTTTCTCCCCAGGCTCCGGAAGGGTCAGATGTGTGACTTAGTCTTTCTCCTCTGACCTCTACCTGCCCCACTCACTTCCGGTCCCTCTCTTACTCCTCCCTGTCTTGACTCCTTCTACCACCCCTAATGCCAGGCGCCAGGACCCCGGAATGTGGCCCTCAGCTTCCCCATCCGTGCAGAGGGGCAGCTAGAGTAACCAAACTCAGCATGCCTGTCCAGCCCAGACCGTCCGTGGGTTTACTGTTCTTCTCAGGAAGCTTCCGGTCATCTGGATGCCTTCATGATAACCCCTCCCCTGCGCAGAGCATTTTAACTCAGTGCTCTCAGCTACACTTCCCTCCTCTCATCTGCCTAGGATCCTTGAAGCCGGTTCTTATCCCTCTTCAGCAGCAGAGCAAACAGATCACAGGAGCCAGAGGGCCTTGCCTGAGATCCCTCAGCAATAGCCCCAGGCCCCAGGCCAGCAAGTAAGAAAAGACAATCCAGTAGAACGGAGGTTTCCTCCATCATCCCAGATCCCAGACTGCCTTCTTTATTCCCCTGGATATGGTCTGGTCTTTAGCCATGTGTAGTTCTGGGAGTTCAGATGCGACTGTTTCTCCATTTCTCCCCTAGTAGGGCTAGAGGAGTGCTGAGCTGTTTCTCCAGCCATAGGAAAACAAGTTATCTATCTGGGAGCCTTGGGAACAGCTCTGGAGAGAAGTGCACACATAGTTCTTCATGCAACTTTTCCCAAAGCTTGTCTGGGATACACTCATTCATTGCACATTAATAGGCATGACCAAGAAAAGAATCGATGGCCAAGTAATTTGAGAAACTCTAGATTCAGTCCAGTTAAACAGATCTGCAAAGTGCAGGACTGCTCAGAACCTTTAATATGGTAATGTGCACTACAAATTTCCAAGAAGGAAGCAGTGTCCAGCATTTTCTAAACTCCTGCGACCAATTTTCTACCCCAGCCTAAGCACTTCAGGCTGCAGAATGCACTTTAGAGAGCATGGTTTTAATTGAGAGGGGCCGGGCTGGAGAAGGGGCAAGTCATGGGGAGCAGGGTTTCCCTCAAGTAACCTATGGTGGATGCAAGGAGACAAACTGCGGTCATGGCCTCACACTGGGGCAGACAAGCCGTGGAAACAATGGTATTGTGTTTATCTGGCCCCTGTGTTTTCCTGGAACGGGGAGGAGGTGGCTCCTCTCTGAGGACCTTTGCCAGTGGCAGGGATCATTGAGGAGTATGGTCTGGGCTTGGGTGACTCATCAGTGACTCTGTACTCCCTCCTGGACTTCTGGTACCCCACTGGCCCTAGCTTTGCCCAGCCTTGGAGTGGGGCCCGATGTTGGAGTGATGGCTGGCCATTAGAAGAGGTATGGGTGGGCAGAGTCTCAGGGGTCAGTGCAAAGGCTCTTTCCGCTCTGCAGGGGACAACGGCTTGGCATAACAACACCAAGGTTCACACAGTTACCTACCCCCGTTTCTGGCCGCTGCTCCACACCAGGATGCCTGCAGCCAGGGACAGAGCTAGGAAGGGGCAGGGGACACATGAGAGCTTCTGGTTACACGGACGCGGGTGGTGGCAGTCCCCGTGCCCTGAAGGTTGGTAGCCCTGCAGGTGTAGATGCCAGAGTCCCCAGCCCGGGCCTCTTCCACATGCAGGGTACTCCCTACCTCCTGCTGTACCTGGCCCTCTTGGCGAACGACACTGGCCCACTCGCTGACGTAGGGGGGTCGGCCCAGCTGCAGGGACAAAACATAACTGTCCATCAGCTACCCCAGGTGTCATCTCTGACTTAGGCACCAGCAGGCAAGTAAGAGGTACTGTGTCCCTTCAGGGAAAGGGAGAGTGACTCGCCCAAGGTCACACACATATATCAGAGCACCTGAAAGGCCAGGTTCTTTGTGGGAAATGTGGGCTTCTCAAGTCCCTGGGGAGAAGCTGGGGTCTCCTCTCCCACTCAAGGAGACACAGGAAGTGACTTGGCTGGGAGCAGCACCCCGCGGTGTGGGTTTTGCGGCACTCTGGTTTTGTGGGGTTGTTAATGGGTGCTGCCTCCCCAGAGAAGGGGACGTGGGGTTCTATTATGAAAATTGTTTGAGAAACACTGAGTCAAGTAAAATTAAACTGGGGAGACTCCGGCCACTGAGTCTGTCACATGTGCATGTGAGTTTTGAATCTCCGAGGTAGGCGATGGTTATAAGAGGCAGTGTTTTCCTAAAAGCACTTTATTGGGAGGTTGGGGCTGGACTTTCTGGTATGCTACCATTCCAAGGAACATGTTTGAGGAAATGCTAGCACAGCGAAGCCATGTCTCCCAACCATGAGTGTGTTCTTTACCGCTTGCTGGGTCTCAGTTTCCATTTTTGACAAATGGGAGGATTATCCCCCGTTCGTTCCCTCCTAAGGCCTCTGGGGAGCTCACCTTCACCTTGTCTTTGCTGGGTCCAGCCCACCCTCAGAGGCTTATGTCAAATCCCACTCTTCCAGGAAGGCTTTTTAAGAATTCCTGAAGTTTTCAATGCTGGTGGATCTGCTTTTTGACCCAGGTGCTCTCCAGATGTTTGCAGGCTGTGGGGCTAAGTTCTCTGAGAGGAAGGAACATCACTATCACCTCTCCAACAACCCCTTAGGAAGGTCTGGCCCACGGCAGATGCCCAGGAGACAGCTGCTAATGTATTTTGTTCATCTCTTATTATACACACACTGGCCACGGGGACTGAGCACTTGCCTCGGCTCTGTTCTCATGAGATTTGGGCCAGTCTGGTCTCAACTCAAATGTCACCTCAGAGAAGACTCCTTGACTCTATCTTAAGGTGCTATCGCATCCGTCCTGTCGTATCCTCAGGGTAGCACTTAGTATTCTCTTGATGACCGTGTTCATTTGCCACTGTAAGCTTGCAGACAGCAGAAGCCATATCTCTTTTCGCCTCATCCTTGTGGTCTCAGCACTTAGCACAGTGTCTGGCCTGTGGTGGGTGCTCAGTAATTATTGGATAAATTAACAAAGGAACGAATTTTATACAGTAGCCTGAGAAGTAGCTCTATTTAACAAATGAGGAAATTGTGGCCCAGGAAAGGGAAGTGACTTGCCCAAGGTCACACAGAGAAGCAGTGTCAGGTTCCTCTGAATCTTAGTCAAGCAGTGGTTCCACTCTGTCATGATCGCTCCTGATCCTCCTCCTAATTCCTCACCCCCATGCTCCTGCCCAACACACCATCAGCGCGCGCGCACACACACACACACACACACACAGCCTCCTCTTACCCTCGGCTTACCTTCTGCCCTGGATATTCCCAGATAAAGTCCACAGCAATGTCTGGCTCACCCAGAGCCGTGCAGGTCACACTGAAGTTCTCTCCCAGTTGGACTGATGTTGCTGAAGCTTGGATGGTGGGTTTGGGGGAGGATGACGGGTCTGCCATGGAGAAGATGGGAGAGAAATGGGAACAAACATGTTGAACTGATTGTTGGAACCATTGAATGAAATGAATGGGTAGAATGAGTAAGGTCCCAGAGGGGAATGGTTGGGGTGCTTGAATTGATAGGGGATGGGTAGATGATGGAACCGGTGATCTAATGGAGGATGGATGAATGGAATGGTTGGCTTGAGGGCAGATGGATGGATGGAATAGTGTGACATGATTGAGAATGAGTGGATGGACAGAAAGCCTGCACTGATGCAGTGTCAATCAATGGCTGGCTGACTGGCTGCCTGTCTGGACAAGATGGTTGACTACGTGGGGTGTTCTTGAAAGCTGGTTGGTTGTTCAGCGTTCCGTGATCCAGAGAACTCAAATCTGAAGTCCCTAAGAGGTATCTCTCCCCATATCCTCCCTCGCCCCGCCCACCCCAGCCCTAGGCCCACGCACACTTGATGTAGATCAGCATGTACTTGGTAGAGATTTGTCTCAAGCCACCCAGGCTGGCCAAGCAGAAGAGGGCTCCAGCCAAGGAAGCTCGGGGCCGGTGGATGGTGAAGCCCTTCTTCACGTCAAAGGAGATGTCTATCCCATCCACTGGGACTTCCTCCGGGGGGAACTCCCGATGCAGTGTCACGTGGGCCAGAGGGTTGGTCACCTGGCAGGGAAGCAGGACTGGTTGATGGCTGTGCAACTGCACCACCTTATAATAATCCTCAGTGGGGACAAAGAGCTCCTCTGGGTCTGGGAAGGAAGGAGGGAGAGAGACGAATGAGCTTGGCACAGATTAGTTGTTTCCTGATGCTCTACCACCGCCCATGAACATGAGGTCCGTCTCGGGGACTTCAAATCCCTCTTTCCCTGCCCATTCCTGCCCTGGGGTGCTTTTTCCTCTCTGGTAAGGGCTTCTAAGACTGACAGCTGAAGACCAGCCTGCTAGTTCCAGCTTTGTCATTTTGACTGACGTTCTTGGAGGCCTGACTCCAGGGCACCTGTGAAGAAGATGAAGGTCTTTCCCTTGCGGGCCTCGCCTTCTGCGCCCTCGCCATCCTGGCAGTGCTGAGCCCAGCAGCTGTATTCCCCCGTGTCCGCGCTCGTGGAGTTGACCAGCTGCAGCTGGCTGTGATGGCTGAAGTGCTTGATTCTGAAAGACAGGTGTGGGGCTGGGCCAGGGTGAGGCAGGCAGGAGACGGGGATGGCCTGGGACACCTAGCGAGCAGCGTGGAGTCGTCTGAGAGTCCCCCTCCCCAGCTTCCATCACATGGCCCACTCAGTCTTCTCCCTTCCCCACTTAGGCTGTAAGGGTTTGCTGATTGCTCGCCTGTCTCTCTGGCCTCATGCACATCTTCTGATTGGTCCATCTATCCCTCACAGACCTTGTCCTTGCGTTGCAAATGGCATCGCAAACGGCATCCCCCAAACTCCTTTGTTGTCCTTGGCTCCTTCCCTGTGTCTCGCTCTTCAGGCCAGTAAATGCCCTCTAAGCGACTCTACCCCCTAAAGGAGGCAGGGTTCCAGGAAATCTCACCCTAAGAGGCTGAATTGAGAGAAGGCGGACAAATCTCCTGAACCCTTTTATGTCCCAGCCTCTGCCTGATTTTCTTCTGGACCTGGGGTGAGCGATGCTGGTGGGGTCAACTCTGCCTTCATTTCTGCCTCCCCTATGACGGCGTCCCTGACATAAGGGCGTCTCAGCCCAACATTCCGGCACAGCTAGGTCAGACAGCCTGTCCCCCGTACTACTGCCACCTTTCTCCCTGCAGGCACCATTTGCTGCCCCCAGAATTGACATCCCGGATTGTGGGAAGCCATGGCTCTCATTCTGTTAAACCACTCCGCAACTGGTGGGTCTCGTGAGCCCATCTCACTGTTTCTTTCAGATGCCGGTAGTCAGAGGAGCTACTCCATCGCATACCTCAGGCGTTCCTTGCCCTCCTCTTCCAGGTATACAGGCACCCTCCAGTGGACCACCTTCCCCCGGCAGCGAAGCTCCAGGGGATCCCCAGCCCGCAGGCTGAGAGAGTCCCCCACCTTCTGGAAGCGGCCCCTCCCTAACACCAGGGTCAGAATGGAGGAGGCTGGGAGGCTTGGGGCTGCAGCCTCCATCTCCAGGGTCTTCTGGCTGAGGTCTGCTTTGGGTTTTTTCCCACCTGGGGCTCCTGGGGGCTTCACGTCTCCAGGGCTGGCTGCTTTGAAGGCTCTCTTTTTCTGAGCCTTGGGAGTTCTGCCATGCTCCTGGACTTCAGCTGTGGAGAGACAGGGTGGGTTTGGGGTCACCAGCCTTCACTGTTCATCGCAAATGGGGTCCTCTCCTCACCCCAGCAGTTGATAGAACCTCAGAGCTCTGTTACCCTTTATGCTTATTACTACTACAAAGGTAATCCTCACTCTATGACAAAATACAGACAACCCTGAGAAAAAGGGTTAAATTTGCCCCAAAACTTACCATCCAGAGATAACCACCATGAGTATTTAAAGCATATTTTTCCAATTTTCCATTTTTAATGCACATATTTTGAAGAAATGGTCAAAAAATAAAATGGAACAGGATAACACATATTTTTAATAACCTACATTTTCACTTAGTAATATGTTGTGATTATCATTCCATGTCAATAAACATGTATACTAAAATATTCCAAACAATTTGCTTGGTATTTCATGGTAGGGATGTATGATGACTCATTTCTTCATTGTTGGGCATTTGGGGTTTTCTGCATTCTCAGCCAAAATAGTTCTGCAATAATCATCTTACACACCTTTGATCAGATTGCTTCCTTAGAATGAGTTCCTTCGAAATGGAACTGCGGGGAGTGGGGGGGCCATGGAGAGGAACTCATACACTTTCTTATCTAAGTGGCTACCAATATTTCAAACCCTTCTAGAGCATGCTCCAAAAGAGGTCACTTAATCTGCACTTAGGTATGTCTACTGAAGGGGAGCTCAGTAGTTAGCATTATTAAATAATAAATAAATAAATGCAGTCTGGCATCTAAAAACAAAGATTCCCTAGGGAGTTATGTAGGCCACTCCAGAGCTACCACTGATGGTGCCTGCAGTGTTTCTGGGATAGCACCTGTCCCTGTCTATATATATATTTTTTATTTCATCCTCTTAGTGAATGCAAAGTATTTTTCTCATTTTACAGATGAGGACTTTGGGGCTCACAGAAGCTCACTTTCCCCCGGTACTGTGCCAAGGAGTGGGAGACCTGTAACTCTGACCCAGGTCAGTCTGGCTCCAGAACCCACGGTAGCTTCACCGGCAGCATATCTTTTTTTAAAAAAAATTTTTAATATGAAATTTATTGTCAAATTGGTTTCCATACAGCACCCAGTGCTCATCCCAACAGGTGCCCTCCTCAATGCCCATCACCCACTTTCCCCTCCCTCCCACTCCCCCTTAACATTTATTTATTATTGAGAGACAGAGACAGAGCATGAGCAGGGGAGGGGCAGAGAGAGGGGGAGACACAGAATCTGAAGCAGATTCCAGGCTCTGAGCTGTCAGCACAGAGTCCGACGCGGGGCGCGAACTCACGCACCGTGAGACCATGACCTGACCTGAAATCGAACGAACGCTTGACCGACTGAGCCACCCAGGCACCCCCGGCAGCATATCTTAGGGCTGAATGGCTGTGACTGCTAAAAAGACCTTTCAGACCCACTATCTTCAGCTCTTACCACTGATCTAACTTTTCTTCCCTGTGGAAGAGGAAGCAGTCATGTCCTGTGCCTGCCTTCTACCCCAGAGCCCAACCCTCTCTTCAACAGAGAGGGCTGTGCAATTCGTACCAAGTTCTGAGGCTCTTTACTCTCCGTCCTGATAGTTCCCAGACACAATCTCTCGTCGTGCCCACTGCTGTCACCACACCGTCCAAATCCTGGTCAGATCTCATCTAGTCTGCTGATGTAGGAACCCAACCGGTCTTCTTGCTTCCAGTCTGACACACATCACACACCTCTTCTTAAACCATCACAGTCAGGGGCGCCTGGGCGGCTCAGCCGGGTAAGCGTCCAACTCTTGATTTCCGCTCAGGTCATGATCCCACAGTTTGTGAGTTTGAGCCCCGCGTCAGGCTCTGTGCTGACAGTTCAGAGCCTACTTACCCGCTTGTGCTCTCTCTCTCTCTCTCTCTTTTTCTCAAAATAAATAAATAAACTTAAAAAACCTCCCACATGATGGGTTATTTCACCAGTTCCAAAAGCCTCAGGCTACCCCATCCATCATGGGGGAGCAGGGGACAGGGGCAAGCGGTGGATATAATGTTTGGACAGCAGCAACAGAAAAGATCCCAATGGAGTTTAGCGATTGTCTTTTTTTTTTTTTTTTTTTAATGGCCCCAAACCACCATCATCAACACACACAGGTACCAATGGGTAAAAACAAGACAAGATAAAGAAAGAAACCAAACCACCACGTTTAAACCTGAGTCCTCTGTTTTTCACAACTGTTAAGAAAAAACTACACATCTCTTGTGTGTGTGTCATTTACACTCACACGACTACCACACTCACAAGACTTCTGACACCAGATTGGGGGAGGGGGTTTCCACACCAAGCAGTTCTCCGAGACACCATCTGGGTATTGCATAACTTAAGTCAGGTCTAACACTATTTGCCTGGAAAGAGAATCAGACCCCCCAGCTTAAGGTCCCCAAGACTGCCCTTCCCCCCACTTCAGATGCCAATCTCAAGTCCCAGGTTGTCACTTGTGCTTCTGACCGACTGGCTATAAATTGGGGTTCCCATG